GTCCTATAGCCTTGACAACACTTAGAATTGTTAGATTTTTAAATTTTGCCGTTCTGGTGAGTGTGAAAAGTGGTGGTTATTTTGTTTGGTTATTATTTATTTAATGAGAGATTGGGTCTTGCCACATGCCCAGGCTGGTCTTGAACTCTTGGGCTCAAGTGATCCTCCCACCTTGGTCTCCTAAAGTGCTGGGATTACAGGCATGAGTCATCATGCCTCGTTTTGTTTGCTTTTTATTGTGGTAAAAAACACATAAAATTTACCATTTTAACTATTTTTAAGTGTACAGTTCAGTAGTGTTATGTATATTCATATTGTTGTGAAACAGATCTCCAAGTTTTTGTTCGTTTGTTTTTTGAGATGGAGTTTCGCTCTGTCGCCTGGGCTGGAGTGCAGTGGCGCGATCTCGGCTCACTGCCACCTCCGGCTTCTGGGTTCAAGCGATTCTCCTGCCTCAGCCTCCTGAGTAGCTGGGATTACAGGTGCCCACCACCACACCTGGCTAATTTTTGTATTTTTAGTAGAGATAGGGTTTCATCATGTTGGCCAGGCTGGTCTCGAATTCCTGATCTCATGATCCACCTGCCTTGGCCTCCCAAAGTGCTGGGATTACAGGCATAAGCCACCATGCCCGATCTCCAAAAGTTTCTTATCTTGCAAAACTGAAACTCTGTACCCATTAAACAAAACTCCCCTTTTCTGTCTTCCTTCCCCCAGCATCTAGTAACAACCATTCTACTGTTTCTTTGAATTTGACTTTATTTTTATTTTTTGTTTTGACAATATCACTCTGTCATTCAGGCTGGAGTGCAGTGGTGCAATCTCGACTCACTGCAACCTCTGCCTCCCAGGTTCAAGCAATTCTCATGCCTGAGCTACCTGAGTAGTTGGGATTACAGGTATGCACCACCATGCCCAGCTAGTTTTTCTATTTTTAGTAGAGATGGGGTTTCGCCATTTTGGCCAGGCTGTTCTCAAACTCCTGACCTCAAGTGATCCACCTGCCTTGGCCTCCAGTGTGCTGGGATTACAGGTGTGAAGCACCACGCCTGGCCCCTGAATTTGACTTTAGACACCTCAGATAAGCAGAATCATACACTATGTCTTTACTGAACATAAAGTCCTCAAAGTTCATCCATGTTGTAGTATGTGACAGCATTTTCTTCCTTTTAAGGCTGAATAATAATCCATTGTATGTACACGCCACATTTTGTTTATTCTTCCATCAGTGGACATGTGGGTTGCTTCCACCTCTTTGTTATTGTGAATACTGCTGCTATGAACATGAGTCTGCAAATATGTCAAGACCCTGCTTTCCATTTTTTTTTTTTTTTGCTATATACCTGGAAGCAGGAGTTCTGGGGTAGTTCTATTTTTAATTTTTTTTTGTCATACATACATATTTTTAATTGCTTAAGAGGAATCTCTTCATATTGTTTTATATAGTAGTTTCACCATTTTATAATCCCAGCAGCAGTACACAAGAGTTCTAATTTCAAAGTGGTATATTTTTATCTTGCATTTACTTGACGATTAATGATATTGAGTACTTGTTGATTTAGACTTTTAGTTCATTTAGAGCTCCATTTTAATAAGGTGTCCTTTTTTTTTTTTTTTTTGGTCGATTTTTCAAATGGCTTGTCTGGAAGAATCCTTTATATATTATAGATAAAGGATCTTTATTGGTTATATTTGTTGCAAATATCTTCTATTGTATAGCTTCCTGTTAATTTCTTAATGGCGTTATTTGGCAAGTTTATATTTTCTTTTCTTTCTTTTTTTTTTTTTTTTTGAGACAGTCTCACTCTGTCACCCAGGCTAGAGTGCAGTGGTGCGATCTCGGCTAACTGCAACGTCCGCCTCCAGGTTCAAGCGATTCTCCTGCCTCAGCCTCCTGAGTAGCTGGGATTACAGGCGCACACCACCACATCCGGCTAATTTTTGTATTTTTTAGTAGAGATAGGGGTTTCACTATGTTGGTCAGTCCAGTCTTGAACTCCTGACCTTGTGATTCGCCCGCCTCGGCCTCCCAAAGTGCTGGGATTACAGGTGTGAGCCACTGCACCTGGCCGCAAATTTATATTTTCTAATGGAGTTCAATTTATCAATCTTTCCTTTATGGTTAGTGTGTATACCTACATTTCTTATCTGTTTAAGAACTCTTAGCTACTCTTAGAAAATACATTTACTTTCTAGAATAATTATTCTCTTACCTTTTATACTTAGATCTACAGTCCATTATACAATATGATTATGACTACAAGGTGAAATTCCATTTTTTAACATGAATATCCAATTGATCCAATATCATTTATTGAAAAGACCAACTTTCCAGTTCCATCTTCATCATAAATGAAGTGTCCACACATGTATGGGCCTGTTATTGGACTCTTCGGGACATAAGTCCTGTTGACTTATGTGTATCATTGTGTCCAAACCGCATCGTTGTAACTACTGTAGCTTTATAGTAAGTCTTTTTTCCTTCTTGTTTTTATAGACAGGATCTCACTATGTTGCCCAAGTGGCCTCAAAAACTCCTGGGCTCAAAGGATCCTCCTACCTCAGCCTCCTGAGTAGCTGGGACCACAGGCATATGCCACCATGCCCAGCTTACAAATCTTGATATTCATAGTACGCCCTCCCACTTCAAGATTGTTTTGACAGTCTCTCACCTTGATATTTTGCATTTCCCTATAATACTGTGTATTTCCACAAAAACATTATGGGTGTTCTGACTTGGAATGCATGAAGTCTATACATCAATTTGGGAAGAAGTGACATTTTTACAACATTGAGTTTTTCAGCCAGCAAATATACAACTTCTCTCCATTCATTTAGGGATGGAATCCCTGACCTTTTGATTTTTAAGTCCTTCCTGGGTTTTATCCCCTCCCTTGCCGTCTTATCCGCGACCTAATACAAGGATCAGGGCCCCTTCCTCCTCACCTGACTTAGGGTCGCCAGGTTTTCCATTGGCCATGGGGGGAGGGCCCAGAAGGCTGGGTGGTCCTAAGAGCAGACATGAAAATATGGTCATCAGAATGGATTAAAGGACTGATGATTCTGTTCTTAGGCGTTTTTCTTGTATTACTCATTTCTTAATTCAACCAGTAAAGTCAGGTATATTTTCAGCAGTCTTAGGAGTTCTCACCCCATCTATCTGCTCTTTTTTCTGCAAAGCTGTTTCAGGGTTTGCAAAAAGTAGATATTCAATCAAAGGCGATAATGCAGGAAAAGATACAACTTTTTCTTTTCCTCACCGTACCGTCGCTATCCAAAACAACCTAAGTGTCTCCAGACATAAACCAATCCCTCACCTTAACTGCTGGCCAGTCAGTTCTCTTCTCCTTTCACTCGGCCAGAGGACTAGTTTAGAGAAAGCGGCACCTGTACCTTTTCAATCAAAATCCGGATACAAACTGTCAACCCAGTCATCGCAATCTGCAACATCTCTACTGCCCCTTTCCCCTACTGTTCTGCGGCTGCGCAAAAGAGCTCTTTACTCTCTCCACCCCCGCGTTCCAGAAAGGTTTGGGGCCGTATTGAGGTTGACGGTTCCAGTAAGAGAACTCCTGGTTCAAGGCTCCATTTGGGACAGCCCTGCTGCCATCCCTACCCAGCGCGTGCGCCCTTCCTCCTTCCGTTAGAGCCCCTTCCTTCGCACCTTATTAGCCCCTAGCCCTTCGCCCGGACGGGCTTGACAGGCATGTGCACATCCCTCCCTGACCCCTCACCGATGGGACTCCCATCCTCCTCATCTCCAGTCTCTTCCCGCTCGGGCAGTGGGGGTTGCTGCTGTGTCGGTGGCTGGTGCTGATTCTGCTTCTTTCGTTTCGGCATCGTGGCTGCGGCAATGGCTGCAGCGGGATTTGGAGGGTAGTGAGGAAGGGGCACGCGGGGATTCTGTTTCCGCTTCCGGGGGGTCGGTGGGCAGCAATGCCCAAGCTCCCACCATTCCACTTCCGGAAGGTTGCGGAGAACATCTGTGGCGGCCGCATTCTGGAGTAAACTGCCTCTCTCCGTCTCTGCCAGGCATGGCGGCAACCTCACACCTTCCTTTTGCTGCGTTTCTATAAATGCTTTGAAAAAATTCCGCTCTTCTTCCCTCGCTGGAAAACACCACAACCAGCTCCTCAGAGTGTGTCACAGAGTCAACAGGCTCTCGGGCCAGAAGGCCTGAGAAGAGGACTGTCGCACCGTAAGATCGCCACATCCGGTCCTCGGTTACTATGGTAACAGCTGCAGGCACAACTTTGTGCCCTTTGACCTCCCTCCAAAAGCCCTTGTCCCGCCTGGGTTTCGCTTCTCGCCCGCTTTTGCACTTCTGATCTGTAAACCTGCTCCTTATCATCGTTCCCACAAGGAATTTGGGTCCCAGCAGGTCGGCAGCCAGGACTCTTCAGACCGCCGCCCTCCCCTAAAGACCTCTGACCGTGCCCCCGGTGTAGCCCAGCAACCTGGCTTCATTCCCGGGACGCACCGTCTCGGCTTTCCACTAAGGTCAAGCCTGGGGGTTGGGAGTGTAGCCTCAGCGTGTCCACTCCTCCTCTCCCCTAGGTAATAGGCCCCGCCCTCCGCTCCGCCGCCCCCTCCAGGTGAGTGGTAGCTTCTCCCGGGAGCGCAAGGTAGTGATGACACGCGCTCCCCCCTCCTCCGAACGCGAGTTGGTAGCGTCCGTGACGAAGTTAGCCTGGTCCTCCCACGCGCGCCTCCTTCCTCGCCGCCGGGGTGCTCTCTCGGTGCTTCTGGCTCTCACGTGCCAGTAGCCCACCCCGCATCATCCTTTCGCCTCGCTCCTGGAGGGAAGTGACTGTGTATCTCCCCTGTCCGCCTTCCATCGCCGCCGCGGCGGCAATTCGGTCGGGCCCGCCCGCTGACGTCACCTGCTAGCTCCGCCTCCTCTAGGGTCCCGGGCCCCTGCGGCGGGGACTGCCCCGGGGGGCAGTCAGTTGAGGCGGCAGGAGCTCGGCGGAGGGCGGGCCAGGTGACTGGTCCGGGCCATGCCGAGGAAGAAGCCCTTTAGCGTGAAGCAGAAGAAGAAGCAGTTGCAGGACAAACGGGAGCGGAAGAGAGGTCAGTGCGGGAGCTGGAGGAGGAGGCGGGGCTCGGGCTTCCGCACAGCTGGAAGGAGGGGTGTGCCCGCTGCACCTCTGGGGGTCGTGGGAGGGGGTCGTGGGACCGCGCCAACCCTCGCGGCCTATCGCGGAGGGGATCTCCCACCCCACCCCCCCACATCTGGAAGGGGTGGGGAAGGATGGAGAGTTGGGGGAGGGGAATCCCTCCAGCTCGCACGGGGCGCCGTCCCTACTGCTCCCTGGAGGAGTGATTCCCCCCCACGCACATCCGGGAGGGTCCCGAATAGGGTGGTTGGGAGGACAGAGCGTCGGAAGAAGTTGAGTGGGATGAAGAAGAGTCAGACCGGTGGGGGAGAGGGTCTTATGGCCCCTGAGAGCTGGCCAGCACTGGCGTCACCGGCCCCTCCCCGCAGGGCTTCAAGATGGGCTGCGCTCCAGTTCCAACAGCCGCAGCGGGAGCCGGGAGCGGCGAGAGGAACAGACAGACACCTCGGACGGGGAGTCTGTGACCCATCATATCCGCAGGCTTAACCAGCAGCCTTCTCAGGGGCTGGGTCCACGAGGCTACGACCCAAATCGGTGAGGGTGGGAGGGGGCGCTCGTCCCGGCTTTCCCGCCTACCCGGAAATCAGAGCTTTGGGGGAAAGCGGGCTGCTGCTGGTGAAGACGGTGGGCCTGCGATGCCACAGTTCTCCGCTAGCCCCTCGGCTCCCCAGTGCGGGCCACAATCTTGCTTTCCAGAGGGGCTGGAGAGAGTTGGGCTTTTAGGAGGAGGAGGCTGAGTATTGCCTGAAAGAAGGACTTGGGGGAAGGCTGACTTGAGAGAGGAGACTTGAACGACGAGAGAATGCTTTGCGAAGTTGATTGTCCAAGAGGGGAGAAAATAGGAGTTTGTGGCCACAGGATTGCGCTGGATGTCTTGGTCCCTGTTCCCTTAGATACCGACTGCATTTTGAGAGAGACAGCAGAGAGGAGGTAGAGAGGAGAAAGAGAGCAGCCCGGGAGCAAGTTCTACAGCCGGTCAGTGCTGAGGTGTTGGAGCTGGACATCCGGGAGGTCTATCAGCCTGGCTCAGGTGAGTGAGGGCAAGACAAGTATTGGGCTGGGGAAGGAGTTTGGAAAGGTAAGAGCCTAGTGTGAGGATGGAGGGGTCTGGGATGTACTCTTGAATCCTAAAAATTCCCTCACACTTGGACTTTTTCCTGATTTCCCAGTTCTGGACTTTCCTCGACGTCCTCCTTGGAGCTATGAGATGTCCAAGGAGCAACTAATGAGCCAAGAGGAACGGAGCTTCCAAGAGTATCTTGGGAAGATTCATGGGGCTTACTCCTCTGAGAAACTCAGCTACTTTGAGCACAATCTGGAGGTGACAGTGTACTCTAGGGACAGGAGTGGGGCATAGTGACCAATGGTCAAATTGGCTTGGGATCAGGCTTGAGAGGGACTCTGTGTTCAGGTTCTCTTCCTGATCTTGTCTTTTTAGACATGGAGGCAGCTGTGGCGTGTGTTAGAGATGTCTGACATTGTCCTGCTTATCACTGATATCCGACATCCAGTGAGTACTAGGAATAAGGGTGGCCAAGGAGGAGGAGGGAGAAAGGTTTTTCAGGGGCAAAGGTCAGAGGCAAGAGTTGGGAGACAGGTATCTATTTTCCTGTCTTTCTGACCTCTACCTAGTGCTGATGTCTGCAGTTAGGAACTCAGTTTTTTATTCTCTCTTATAGCCTGTCACTTCTCCCTTGGCCGGCTCACTCTCCTCTTCAAAACAGCCATGTCCTATCCTTTTAACTCATCACAGTTAGACCAACAGAAAATCCAAGTGTGGAGCTCCAGGGATTCTATGAATGCAATTGGGGGCTTCCTCCTGCCCAGCCCAAAGATGCCCTTTCTTCCTTATCTCATTTCTCTAGTACTGCCGCATCAGTTGCTACAGAACCCACCTGGAATCGTAGAGTAGTAGTTAAGGCTGTAGACTGCTGCTGGACTGCCCTGTATGAATCCTAGCTCTGCAACTTCACTCTTGTCCTCCAGTGGGAGAAAGGGAGGTCTGTGAGGACCGTTTAGGTTGGAGGTCCTTAACAATGTGTACACACACACATGTACTGACACATACATCATGTGCACATCAATATACACAGGCATGTTTGCACACATGTTCACAGTCACATTGTTAACACACGAACATGCACACGAGTGCATGTACTTGCATGTATACACACTTATATAGTTGTGCGCACACAAAAGCAGACTAATTGTTACCCTAACACCCATCCCTATTTCCGATCCCAGCCTTTACCTCAGTGTGCTAAGTGACGCTGTTTCCTTGTCTTGTTTTGGGTTCATTTCCATCTCTAATCATGACCTATAGGAAGCCCCCTGAGACTCAGAAATATTACTAACCCCTGTTTTGTCTTCCTTTTTCAGTTTGGCTGGTTTATAGTTTTTAGCCCAGAATCTGCTACCACCAGGGTCTTGTCTCTGAGCTATGCCTGCTAAGTGGGGAGCTGGAGGCAGAGAACTCTGGGTTGACCTTTCACTGCTCCATCTTCTTATCAACCCTGTCCTAGGTTGTGAATTTCCCGCCAGCACTTTATGAGTATGTGACTGGAGAACTTGGGCTGGCCCTGGTGCTGGTTTTGAACAAGGTGGATCTGGCCCCACCAGCTCTTGTGGTTGCCTGGAAGCATTATTTCCATCAACACTATCCCCAGCTCCATGTCGTCCTTTTCACCTCTTTCCCTCGGGACCCCCGCACCCCACAGGACCCTAGTAGTGGTGAGTGGGCAATGAGAGAGGGCAGCTTGGGAGAGGTGAGTTGGCAGGGGACAAAGGGGAGAACAGAGAGGCTTGTTGACAAGGGGGCACCTGGTCTTGGGCCTAAGGGTGGTGGGAGAGATGAGAGGCCTAAGCCCGTGTGCCAATCCTTTCGTGCCTTCTGATCTCAGTCTTGAAGAAGAGTCGGAGGCGGGGGAGAGGATGGACTCGGGCCCTGGGGCCAGAGCAGTTGCTGAGAGCCTGTGAAGCCATCACTGTGGGGAAAGGTATGTGGCCCTTAGAGGAGGGCTGTAGGAGGACATGGGGAAGACCCAAGACGCAGAATCATTTTGCTCACCTTTCCTGAAGCCACCCGCTGTATGGTGGAGATATGCAAGAAGCCGGGGAAGGGATAGAGTAAGGAGCAGACTGACCTGGTGGGACGAGAGGTAGCAAGTAGTCGGGAGCCTCAGTGGCTTGCTGCCTTTAGCCTTCCTAGTACTTTTCAGAAGCTCGGAGAGATGTGCATGATTCCAGGGAGGGTGGGATCAAGTGACTTTTGGGAGATTCTCTGACCTGCTCTTGTTCAGGTTGGCACTGTACACCTCCAGAGGGTGCCAGTTACATAATCTGTGCAGGCTGCAAGGCACAGTATGTGCCATCATACACAGCAGCCCTGGGGAGGACCTCTTTAATCTTCTCCTTCTTTGAGCAGTGGACTTGAGCAGCTGGCGGGAGAAGATTGCTCGGGATGTAGCGGGGGCCACCTGGGGTAATGGCTCCGGGGAGGAGGAGGAAGAGGACGATGGCCCAGCAGTCTTGGTGGAGCAGCAGACTGATTCAGCAATGGAGCCAACCGGCCCAACCCGAGAGCGCTACAAGGATGGGGTGGTGACCATCGGCTGTGTGGGTAAGGAAGTGGCAGCTTGTGCGTGGTGGCCTCCAAGGAGGTACAGGGTTTTCATATTTGGAAAAGAGAGAGGGTGATCACGTTTCATTAGGCCCCAGGGTGTCTGAGGGGTGATCTCTGCCAGTGGTGGTGGGCAAGGCAGAAGAAGCATCTGCTGCAGTGGAGGGATCATTGACAGCCTGGGTTAAATTCAGCCTCTTCTCAGCTGTGAGGTCTTGAGCAAGTGATTTTGCTACTCTGAGTCTTAGTTACTTTGACTTTTTTTAAAAAAGGCCATTGATACCTGATTAAAAGAATGGATGTGGGCCATTTGTGAGAGCTCATGCCTATAGTCCCAGTGCTTTGGGAGGCTGAGGTGGGAGGATTGCTTGAGACCAGGAGCTCAAGACCAGTCTGGGCAATATAGTGAAACTCCATCTTTACAAAAGATAAAAAAAAAAAAATAGCCAAGTGTGGTGGTGTGTGCCTGTAGTCCATGTTACTTCAGGGGCTGAGGCAGGAGGATCACTTAGCCCAGGAGTTCAAGGCTGCAGTGAGCTGTGATTGTGCCACTGCACTCCAGCCTGGCTGACAGAGTGAGACCCTGTCTTTAAAAAGAATGGATGTGAGGAATGATGAGAATAGTGTTGAGAGAGCCTAAGAATATCTGACAAATAGTGATAACAGTAATAATTATTATTATTAAAACTTAGTGTTTATATGGTGCTTACTATGTAACAGGCACTGTTTTAAGTGGTTTATATAAACTATTTGAATTGTAGTAATTAGTCTGTAGTACAGTGATCATCAAATCATAGTAGGAGCTCAGCAAGTATTAGTTTTCTTCTAGGTTTTAACCCTTTAAGTTTGTTGCCAAGGAGAATCTCCTCTTAAGGGCTTTGTCTCAGCTCACAGTGGAGGAAAAAGGAATGTATCATTAGGACCCAGGGCCTGTCTTCATTTAGGGTAGGAGAGGTAAGAAGAGACCTTGGACAAGTTGTGGTATCTGAGGTGATATTGGAACCAAATTAGGCCCAACCCAGAAGAAATTAGGGAATGTGGAGTAGGTAGTTGGACTCCTTGGAAGTGCCCTGACTTATCTCTTAGTGTCCTTTTTGTCTTTGGAAGAACCTGCCTCATTGCTCCTCTTTCTAGTCATTTCATCTGGCTGTCCCTTCCCTGACTTCTGATCCTAGGCTTCCCCTCACAAGGAGCCTCTGTTCCCTCTCTTAGCAGGCTCTGCTTTAGCTGGTCTCTATTCCAGGTGGTGTGAGAGGGAGTTTGCTGTGGCACAGGCACCTCTGAGTTTGGATTTCCTTCCAGCTCTCATTCATTTACCCATTCAACAAATATGTACTGAACGCTTACCAGGTGCCAGATATTCTAGGGATGAGACATACTGCTGTGAAAATGGCAGAAAGGTCTCTATATTCATGGAGCTTATTTTCTTGTGAGTAAATAGGTTTTGTGATCCGAAATCATGTAGGGGCAGTGAAGGCAATAAAGCAACGAAAGGGGCTAGAGAGTGACTGAAAGGAGAGGTGCTCAGGGAAAACCTCCCTGAGGAGAGAACTGGTTGATGAGATGAAGTGAGCCATTCAGAACTGTGGGGAAAGGTTCTTGAGGAAGGAATGGGCTTGGAGATTCTAGGACCAGCAAGAGTGCCTGGAAGATTGAAGTATGGGAGCCAGGATGGAGTATTGGGAATGAGGTCAGCAAGATCGCCAGGGCCCACATCATGTAGAGCCCTGAGGCTGTGACAGCCATTTTGGATTTTATTCCAAGTCTCATGAGAAGCCAAGGGTAGCTTCTGAACAGCAGAATGATAGATTTGATTTTGTTTCTTAAAAGTATACCTCCTGAGTAGAGAATAAATGATGGGAGGTGGGCAAGAAGGGGAGCAGAGAGAGCAGTTGAGGCTATTTCAGTAATCTAGGAGAGAAATAAGAGTTGCTTAGAGTAGGATGCTGGAGCTGGAGGTGGTGAGACAGGGCCAGAAGCATGATATATTTTGAAGGTAGAGAAAATGAGATTGCTAATGGTTTGCAGTTGGCACATGAAGGAAAGTGAGGATAAAGAAGGACTTCCAGGTTTTTGTCTTGAGCAACTGGAAATACTGAGATGGGAAGACTAGGGGAGAAGCAGATTTGAAGGCTTTGGGGAGGAGAGGGGAATCAGAAATTAAATTTCAGATTCTTTTTAAATGTCCCTAGTGGAGATGTTGAATAGGCAGTGGGCAAGTAGTCAGCAGCTTAGGGGAGAGAAGAGGATAGAAATTTGAGTTTGGGAAAGATTTAAATTTGGGGAGCCATTGATGGATATATATGGTATTTAAAGCCATGGAATTAGGCTGGGCACAGTGGCTCACGCCTATAATCCCAGCCCTTTAGGAGGCGGAGGCAGGTGAATCACCTGAGGCCAAGCATTTGAGACCAGCCTGGCCAACATGGTGAAACCCTGTCTCTACCAAAAAATACAAAAAATTAACCGTGCGTGGTGGTGCATGCCTGTAGTCCCAGCTACTCAGGAGGGTGAGACAGGATAATCGCTTGAATCCTGGAGGCGGAGGTTACAGTGAGCCAAGATCATGCCACTGCACTCCAGCTTGGGCAACAGAGTGAGACTTTGTCTCAAAAAAAAAAAAAAAAGCCACGGAATTGGATGAGATGTAGGAGAGAAAGGAAATAGGTGGAGAAGAGGAGGTCAAGGATTGAGCCTTAGGACAAGCCAGCATTTAGCTGGGCAAAGGAGAGTGAGAAGGAGGAAAACCAAGGGAGTGTCCCAGAAGTCAAATGAAGAAGGTGTTTGAAGAGGAAAGGAGGGATTAGCTGTGTCAACTGTTGCTGACAGGCCAAGTGAGAGAACAGAGACCTGCTCAGCGGGCTTGGCAATGTGAAAATCCATAGTTTCAGTGGGGTGGAGAAGCCAAATTGGAGTAGGACCATGAGAGAAGGTGCAACAACTTCACATAAAGTTATGTGAAAGGAGCCTGACACAGTAGCATCCATACCGCACAATTTCAGTTGTATCAAGTTTGAAAGCTGCAAAATTAAGCTGCATTGTTGAGAGACACACAGGTCATAAACTAAAGAGAAATGTAAGGAGTGGATTCTCTTAAAAGGATAAAGTTCACACGTGTAGAGGGAGAGGCTTATGATCAAGAAGGATGAATGGAGGCCGGGTGCGGTGGCTCATGCCTGTAATCCCAGCACTTTGGGAGGCTGAGGCAGGCGGATTGCTTGAGGTCAGGAGTTTGAGACCAGCCTGGCCAACATGGCAAAACCCTACCTCTACTAAAAATACAAAAATTTAGCCGGGCGTGGAGCCGTACGCCTGTGGTCTCAGCTACTTAGGAGGTTGAGGCATGAGAATCGCTTGAACCTGGGAGGATGAGGTTACCATAAGCCAACATTGCACCGTTGCACTCCAGCCTGGGCAAGGGAGTGAGACTCTGTCTCAAAAACAAAAGCAAAAACAAAAAAAGGAAAGATGGAACTTGTTGTCACACACTGAGTGGTGTCGGGTTCATCAGGCTGCACATGTATGTTCTGTGCTTTTTTTTTTTTTTTTTTTTTTTTTTGAGATGGAGTCTTGCTCTGTCACCCAGGCTGGAGTGCAGTGGCCGGATCTCAGCTCACTGCAAGCTCTGCCTCCCGGGTTTACACCATTCTCCTGCCTCAGCCTCCCGAGTAGCTGGGACTACAGGCGCCCGCCACCTCGCTCGGCTAGTTTTTTTTTGTATTTTTGAGTAGAGAAGGGGTTTCACCATGTTAGCCAGGATGGTCTCGATCTCCTGACCTCGTGATCCCCCCGTCTCAGCCTCCCAAAGTGCTGGGATTACAGGCTTGAGCCACTGCGCCCAGCCTTCTGTGCATTTTTGTGTATATTATAGTTTACAGTTACAAAGAAGATAGCAGGAAGAAGTGGTGAAAAGTAGCTAAGTCTTTTAAGGAGTTTTCCTGCAAAGCGAACAGAGAAATGGGTCTGGTGGTGGTCGTCAAAGGAGAACTTTTCTCTCCCTCCTTCCCTCTCTCCCTCCTAGATACTTCCACGTGTTGTAAAGATTGAGCACAGTGGTACATCTTTTCTTAGCCACAGTCAGCTCCCCAGGAGCAGTGCTGAATGGGCAGAACTGGATTTTATAGGGTTGGGATTTTTGCCAGGTGAGTAAGATAGAGGGGAGAGGTGGGACCAGGGAGTTCCAGGTTTCTGAACAGGCCTGGCTGAGGAGCTGGATCATGAAATCTGAGTCAAGTAAGAAGAAAATTGAGGACACGAGTTGGATATTGCATAGTGTTACTGTGTTAAGGTCAGGGGTCAAAGACTTACTGGAATGGAGGAACCAGAGTAAGTGAGCTGGAAAGATGAGTTGTCAGGGCAGAGAGGGTTGCTTGGAATTGAGGCTTTGGAGCTGTGAAGTGACAAGATGCAGGTATTACCACGGGAATGGGCAGCTGAGGTGGGGTAAATGAGATGCTCTGTGGAAGGGAGATAAAGGCACTGAAGTCAGCCAGAAATACAAAAACTGGTAGTGGTTTTGAGCAGAGTGGCAGTGAGTCCCAAGGCTTCCAGTTTCCTCCCTGGACAAGTCATCGTAATTATTATTATTTTTTTCAAGATAAGAGTTTCCCTCTTGTTGCCCAGGCTAGAGTGCAATGGTGCAATCTCGGCTCACTGCAACCTCCGCCTCCTGGGTTCAAGTGGTTCTCCTGCCTCAGCCTCCCAAGTAGCTGCGATTACAGGTGCCCACCAGCACACTCAGCTAATTTTTGTATTTTTAGTAGAGATGGGATTTCACCATGTTGGCCAGGCTGGTCTTGAACTCCTGACCTCAGGTGATCCACCCACCTTGGCTTCCCAGAGTGCTGGGATTACAAGCGTGAGCCACTGTGCCAGGCCAAGTCATGGTAATTATGAGATGTGGATCACTTGTACTGGGTACTTACTGTACTGCAGGCACTGACCCACACAAGTTGTATTGGTTATCTCATTTAATCCTGACCACCCTAAGGTAGGGAGGTGTCTGCGCTGTAAAATGAAGAAGCAGAGACTCAGAAAGTTAGTTGCCCTGACATCACAAAGCTGGTAAGTGGAAGGGCCAGGATTTAACCCTGCGAGCCCAGAGCATGATTTGTATTCTGCAATACCATTTCCTTAATTTCTGAGCCTTAGTTCCCCTTTTACCTATAGGTATAGCACCAAGTCCCACCACAGAGTAAAAACCTGTTAAACATTAAATTTCCTTGCCTTCCTCAGGTTTCCCTAATGTGGGAAAGTCCTCGCTGATCAATGGGCTGGTGGGGCGGAAAGTTGTGAGTGTCTCCAGAACCCCAGGCCATACCCGATACTTTCAGACCTACTTTCTTACTCCCTCCGTGAAGCTCTGTGACTGCCCGGGCCTCATCTTCCCATCTCTTCTGCCTAGGCAGTTGCAGGTATGAGGGGGAGGGTGGGTAAGGGAAAGAGAGAAGGTGGGACATTGAGGAAGGTACTGAGTGCTCATTTCCCTCAGGTTCTGGCAGGGATCTACCCCATCGCCCAGATCCAGGAGCCCTATACTGCTGTGGGCTACCTGGCCTCCCGAATTCCCGTGCAGGCCCTGCTCCACTTGCGCCACCCAGAGGCTGAGGACCCCTCAGCGGAACACCCCTGGTGTGCCTGGGACATCTGTGAAGGTGAGTTCCATGTGCCTGGCTTCACCCCACCTGGTTTCAGCTCCTCTTCCTTACCTGCCTCGCCTTTTACCCTTCCCTGTCTCCTTTCCTCTCCTCAGAGATTCTGCCATTGATGAAGCTGCTGTCCACTCACCCCTAGATTTTTGTTGCATAGCCAGTAAGATCTCTGGCCTGGAATGTTTTGGGGAAAACTAGAAGGACTGTGTTATGGGAGTGGGAATATAACTGGTATCTGGTTAATGCCTTCTCTTTCCATTATTCTTTTCTCCCTCCAGCCTGGGCAGAGAAACGTGGTTACAAGACAGCCAAGGCAGCTCGGAATGATGTGTACAGAGCAGCCAACAGTCTCTTGCGGCTGGCAGTGGACGGCCGCCTCAGCCTGTGTTTTCATCCCCCAGGCTACAGTGAACAGAAAGGTCAGAGCCCAGATATTCTTCCCTAGCCCCCTGCCATGGTATAGGTAAAAGGGTGTGGGCTTTGTGGCCAGAGAGCAAGAGGGTCAAACCTGGATTCTGTACCTGTTGGCTAGCTCTGTAACTTAACATCTGAGACGTTTTCTGATCTGCAAACTGAGGGTAATAATTGACCCTTAGCATGGTGATTGTAACTATTGAAGTTGATGTGCACAAAGCTTCTGTTCAGCAATCTGCACATAGGAAGTTGAATGAATGGATGAATGAATGAATGCCAGCAGCTATAAAGATTATTGTTATTCCTAGTCTTTGCCTCTTCCCCATCTTTCTCTGGCTTTAGTTCCTTGCTCAAAACTCTCCTCCATTTTTTCTTGTTTTGGTTCCCCAGGCACCTGGGAGTCCCATCCAGAGACCACGGAGCTGGTGGTTTTGCAGGGCAGGGTGGGGCCAGCAGGTGACGAGGAGGAGGAGGAAGAGGAAGAGCTGAGCAGCTCCTGTGAGGAGGAGGGAGAGGAGGACCGGGATGCGGATGAGGAGGGAGAAGGGGATGAGGACACCCCAACCTCAGCTCCAGGGTCCAGTTTGGCTGGCCGAAACCCTTATGCCCTGCTGGGTGAGGATGAGTGCTGAGTTCCTCGCCCAGTGCCATCTTCCCACCCAATGTCTTTGCTTTTGGACTGACCTGGGGGTATCTCCCCTCTGCCACCCCAATTGTGAATAAAGATTGTTTGCTTTGTAGCCCCTTCCCCAGATGAACTGAGGTGAGCGGCTGTTCCAGGCTAACAGCTGTGGGAGGCTTCTCTCCTCTTCTCCCTTCTTTTTTCATGTATTCTCTTTGCAAGGGAAAGTTCTCTTAGGAGTTTGTTTAGTAGGTTCTCAGTCTCTGAAACCTGCTTCCTCTACCCACTCTCCCACTCTGCACTTTAGGAATCCCATTATCTACATGGGGAGGGGAGGTCTAAATCCAGCTCCCTTTTGGAGTTTGTGCCATTCTCCGATTTGAGCAGCAGCCCTGTGCGCCCCCTGCTGCCAGACCTAGTCATTCCAGGAGCTTCTGGGAGAAGTAACAGTAAGAGAGGAAGTGTCCCAAGCTGATGTCTCTAAATGAGATTTTTACAGAAATTGTTCAAATTCAGCAAATATTTATTGAGGGTCTGTTGTGTGTCTTGACCTGTGCTGAGCACCAAGCATATAAGGATGTACCACTGAAGCCTGGCCATGATCAAAACCCCACCTTCAGGCACCCAAGTTTTTGGATTAAGAAGGGTGAATGATGTTCTGCAAATCTTGGCTCATGCAGTATAATTCTAGGTCTTCATGTTGATATAAATTTTTAGTTAAGGCAAAACGCTTGTGAAAATGTCGATTTAATGTGTACGAGTAGAGTTTTAATTGTGAACAACTAGCGTGCACATTTATGATTTGAGCAGAACAGCCCTTTAAGTACAGTGTTAAGTTTCATTATTTAAAAGCCTGGCAGCTGCGAGTATATGAGGTACATAGGGGTGGGCACAGAACCAGCCTCCTGAATTCCATTTACTCTGGTTTGGAGGTGGAACAAAGATGACCCAGTGCAGGGTCAGAGCTAGAACCTAGCAGGTGGCCAGAATCATTTTAGGGTTTCACCTCAGCATTGCAGCAGAGATCAACTCTCTCGTGAGTCAGGGCACCTTAGGCCTTGCTGTATATCCCTTTGTTAAGCCAGCAACTAGACTCCTAGATTTAATTCTTTAATTCTTTTCGAAATGGAAGAATGAGCTTTGTTTTACTGACTGCCAGTGTTGTCTATATTGGATGATAGCAAAAAGTGTAGTTTGACAGGTTGACCACAAGATGGAGGAGTGAAAAGTACTAGACTCCTTTTTGCTCTAAAGCAGATCCTTTCAGGATCTGAGTCACTGGGCAATTTCTCCAATGTGAGCAGACAGACCCTGTTAACCAAGGAGCAAAGGAAAGTATATTTAAAGAGGCTGAGGTGTTTGGCCACATATTCCTTTATGTTCATCTCCATTGGTCTCAGTGAGGACATAACCCCTGGAATTCACTCCAGTGCAAAGTTTAAATACTACCAGCATGATAATGTACTTGAAGGTTTCCCAAAATGTGCTAGACAAGAGAAAAGGTCCCAGCTGAGAGAAAAATCCACCTGTCTCCCATCTGGGGCTCTATAGCCTCACTGATAGAAAAGGGAAAGGGGCCCAAGCTAAGCTTACTTTGAGGGTTCATAATGTTCAGAGATGCTCAGGGGACTTCTTTGCTTGTCCTCTGGTGAGGACATTGGATTCATTTCCTCAAAATGTGGAGAGAAAGGAGGAAAATCAGAATTCTATTTGTACCTCTGCTGCTTGTGCTGTTTATCTTTGCTTGTCTTTATCTTTTTCCACCTCAAGGGTTTCATCAGGGCATTTGGGAGAGTCTGGGGTGGGGATGAAGAGTTGATTGGGAGCTGAGGAGGGGGGTTTTTTATGCTGAAGATCTGGCAGGAGGCGACTCCTGACACCCCCACAGGGCTAGACTATAAAACCTCTTACCAGGCCTCTATCAAGTGACTTGCTGACTCTGTAGGATAATAGCAACAGGAAAAGAACTGAGGGACCTGCAGATCAGGATGAATAGGGTCCCAACACCAGTGCTGAGGCTGAGGTTAGAACTGACTACAAAGACACAGGAAACCAAGGGCCCAGTCTCCCCTCCACGCTGAAATACCCTTGTCCTCGCACCCTCTTGTCTGGGTCACGTCTACTATGTGAATACTTGATTATGGAGGTCTGGGGCCCTGGTGGCTTCCATAGCTGGCTAGTTTCTTGATGGAGAGAAATCAGGGCTTCTCTCATCCATGCCGGAATCTCACTTAGATGTCAACTTCCAAGTTTCCCTTTTTCCAGATGGGATTCTAGTCCTGGTTCTGGAACAGGGTAGCTGTGTGTGGTCCAGGATAGTTCAGTTATATGGGCCTTTGTTCACTTATTATAATCATTGATACAGTCAACAAAAATTGATTGAAAACAATATATGCCAGACATTTGTCCCTGAGTTCTGGGACAATAACCAAAATTGAATAAGGCAGTATCCTACCCTCAAGGAATGGAAGGTAGGAATAGAATAATAATAATAATACAATAGCTCTATAGCAGTATGTAAACTATAAAAGCATTATGTTACATGTATTTACTGAACTGTCATAACTGAATAAGGTGGTTAGTACCATAATTGCCCCAAGGATTCATTCACTCAGAACATTTGTTGAGCAATTACTATCTGCCTGTCACTTCCAAGTGGTAAGTGAGATAGAAATGGTTCTTTGTGGAGCTCACAATTTATTGGAGAATGGAAACGGACAATTACAAAAAAAAAAAAAAATGTGTAAGTTCTGGGAGAAGGGTGGTGGTACAGGATCCAGTGGGGTAGTGGTGGCTCCATATAGGAGAGACCTTGGGATAGTGATCAGGAAGGAGTGGGGGACAGGACTAGAAGCTGCATTAGTATATCAAGTTATGTCAGACTGCCAAAACAAAACAAACACTAAAAATCAGTAGTCCATGGTAAAGAATTGCTTTAGGAACAGCCAGTAGGGGGGTTAAACTGGTGTTGGTGAATCAGGGGAAGCCTCCTAGAGGAACAGATGTCTGTGCTGAGGCCAAATACTGGGCAGGAGTTATCCAGACAGAGGGAAATAGCATTCTGGGCAGAGGAGGCAGCAAAGGTCAAGGAACATGACAACTTTGGAAGACTATAACTTGTTCAGAGGCAGAGGGTGCAAAGGAGAAATGAGGAAAGGTGAAGCTGGAGAGGTGGGCTTGGTCCAGCTCTTGCTGGGCCTTTGTAGCCATGTTAAAGATTCAGGCTTTATCCAGAGGAACATTGAACTTTAAGCCTAAGTCTGAAAAGGTGAGAATTGTGCCTTAGAAAGATCACTATAATTGCAGTGTGGAGACTGGTTTGGAAAGGGGAGAAATCAGAGGCTTTTACAGCCATCCCAGGGGGAGAGAATGAACACTAGCATTAGGGTAATGGAAGATGGAAAGAAGAGAAATCGTTTTATGGGTTGCTTAGGAGATAGAAATGACATGTCTTGGGATTGTTTTGCCATGTAGGGGGGAGAGACACGTCAAGAGTATACATCCTGTTTCTGACTTGGCAACTGGGTGTGTCATGGGTCTGTTTCCTGAGACAGTTGTCTACAGTCATACCACCGTGAGCGCCCTGGATCTCATCTGAGACAGTTTATGCAAATGGAGCTCGGGGAAAGAGAGGTGGCTGGAAACAGAGATTTGGGCATCATGGACATATAGGTGTGGGGAGCAGAGAAGGCTGAGGAAGAAAGCAGGAAACATATAAAAAGGAGAGCAGGGAAAGGATCCAGTGAGACAGGAAAAAGTAACATGGTGTGATGAAGCTAGAGGAGGAAGGAAGGGCGGTGTGGAATGCTGCTGATGGGTGTGATGGGTGGTGGCACGGAGAATGAAGAATATCCACCAGCAACGAGAGGGGCCTCCATGGTCTTGGTGGGAGCATTTCTTTGGAGAGGTGGAATCAGAGGCCCCAGATGTCAGAGGGTTAAGGAATAATTTGGAGGAAAAGAGTAGAGGCAGTGGAGGTGAGGAGAGAATTTTCAAAATGGCAGTGATTGCAATGAAAGAAAAAAATGGAGGGAGTAGAGTATATGCAGTTGAAGTGTTTTAGTTTGGAGTGTGTTAACATGATGTTAGGAAGAAGGATCAAGTGGAGGAGAAAGGTGAAAATGCGGGAAGGTGGGGCTTAGTGATGGAACAAGCCTTGGGGACAGGTGGGCGTGGTACTGAGAGTCCCAGTGAGGGGAGTGCCCTCAGGCAGGCGCCCATGGCTTCTGTCACAGGAGGGAACAGCGCTGACATTCAGCTGGTTCGCACTGGTACGGCTCAACCAGTTGTTAAAACATATCTGTTCCAGTGTCAGTAATATATGAGTAACTGCAATAAGCAGTAAAAATTATAAATTCTAATACAAACTCAGTTCAAGCTAATTAGGAGATCGCCACAACCATTGGTAAATGGACTTCCCGCTGCATTTGTGAAGCTTTGCAGCGCTATCTGCCGGTGTCTTGCATAACTGCAGGCTGAGAGGCTGCTTTGCGCCTTCATCTTGAAGCACTCTGAGGTTGCCTGTTTAAATTACCTTGGAATCATGGAGTTGCTACTGCTTCTGAATAGTTTGATTTTATTGTTAGTGCATTGTCATTCTTGTGTCAGTAGCAAGTTTCAGTGTTTTAATATTTACAAATACAAAAATTTTTAATAAAATATTAAAGCCAAACTTGAATGAAGAGACAACAAAGTTTGGATATGTTTCTTTATGTGCCTTTTGAAATATCATAAATGAGAATCTTTTGATTCCTCAGGAGAACAAAGAAGAAATATTAATGAGCTGAAGCCTGGAATGTTTTCTGTTACTGTGTAAAAATCAGAATAATATGGAAATTGTTTGCAACTTATTTTGAAAAATTTCTAACGTAGAAAAAGAACATTAAACACTCAAATACTGAAAGATTCAACACATTCTACATTTTGCCATATTCGCCTTACTAGTTTTTACCAGCTTCTGTATTCATCGATTTTTCTACTTACCAATTTTTTTGTTGTCGTTACCTTTTA